TTTGTGGTGAATGGGCAAATTGTAATAAGTGAATGGGTCGTGAATCGGATTAGCTTGGTATAAGATATTGACGACCAGCCTTAACCCCTTTAAAAGACACAATAAATAAAAAGTCCAACGTTAGAATCATTAAAATGTTTTTGAAAGATTTTTGGAATTCAGCCATCCAAGTGGAATCTTTTTTTAGTAAAGTATTTAATAGTGCTCGCAAAAAAATGTATGTTTAGAATAAAAACATTATAATGATTTGCGAAACTTAAAAATGCTTGTAAAGATGACACATTTGTTGGGGAGGGCATATCTTTAATCGCACTTGCTCTGGTTTGGTCTGGTTTCCTACCGTTTTCGTTAATGATTTGGCCCAAATATTTAATTTTTGTCATGAAAAATTTGCATTATCATCATTCAATTTAAACCAGTGTTCGTTTATTTTTCTGAATACTTAATTTATGTGCATTCAGAAATACCGAATGAATGGTGTAACGAGTCGAGACAATAATAGTTCACTCTAAACCAGACGGACAGTCATTACTAACACCTTTAACTTCTTGTACAATATTTCTGTTGTAATATATCTTTGTTATTCTACTCTTGTGTTCGCGCTGTTCTTCCTTGGTTCTAACCTTGGACCATAACTGTGGTGCGAGGATATTGGACCATAACAGTGGCGACGAGGAACTGAAGAAACGAATTCTACGCGCAGGACAATTTTTTTTGCTATCCGTCGGCCATAACAGTGGCGACAAAAAACTGAAGAAACAAACTCTACGCGGAGAACCTAAAAAAAAAAAAAGTATACTCAAGAAACCAGTTCTACGCGGAGAAATCCTAAAAAAGTATACTCAAGAAACAAGTTCTATGCGGAGAATCTACAAAAAACTTTCTTTTTGGACACCAACTTTACAGTACTAACAAAGACAAATTCTACACAGGAAATTTTTTGTCCGTACTAAGGTTTCAGAATAACAGACAACAAATACCTGAAGTCTAATCTAAAAGAAAAATACTTACACATAATTACGGTAAATATGGAAGATTTTACCGTAATTATGTGTAAGTATTTTTTTAAGTAAGACGCGGAGATCAGACACAGAATTCTTACAAAACTGGAGAGTGAACCAGATTTGACGCTACAAAAATTGACAAAAGACCGTCAGAGATGTATAAGCGTGAAGAAGGACTCGAAAAATATAGAAGAATCTGGCATCGCGCACATACGTAAAGTACAACGACAAACACGTTTTTGCACATCCTCAAAAACAAACCAAACCAATTTTCCCTCCTCAAAAACAGATCAATTTTTTTTACTTCAAAAAGTCAATATCAGAAAAAGCTACCACCCAGTCCATGCTATCGTTGTGGGTTTTTGCATTGGTATAAAGACTGCCCATACCGCTTTAAGACTTGTCTGTCGTGCAAAAAGTGGGTCATAAAAGTTCTCATTGTTGGACTAGGAAAGAAAGCAAACACAGAGTAAACGTCACGAGGACTGACCAAGCGGACGAGACAAACATACGAAAATACGTGCAAGTAGAAACGTTAAACAGAAAAGTCAGACTACAATTGGATTCCGGATCAGATTTAACTATTATTAACGTACAAATGTTGAGAACCGATAAAATTGCTAGGTCGGTAACTGGGAGAAAAATAAAATTTGAAGGAGAAGTTATTACAAATGTGACATTCAATGGAATGACCAAAAAATTAAAAACGTATGTGCTAAGAAATACAGAAAATTTACTTGGAACGGACTGGATGCAGGAATTCGACCTCTGGGATTTACCAATAAGTACGTACTGCCAGAAAGTGAAAAGTTTATCAACCGAGGCAGATAAATTAAAGGAGAAACTAAAAGAGAGTTTCCCCGAAGTATTTTCAGCCGGCCTCGGGAGGTGTAAAAAAATGGCAGCAAATATAGTAATAAAAGAAAATGTACAACCTATCTTCAAGAAGAAAAGGAACGAACCTTTTGCTTCAATAGAAAAAATAAATCAAGAGTTGGATAGACTCGAAAAAATCGGCATATTGATAAAAGTGCAATATAGAAGGGACACCCATAAATACAAGTGCCCACGGGGTCTAAAGTTGCAGTTGGAGTTGAGGTTGCGGTCCGGAGTTGCAGAAGCCACGTCGGGGAGTTAAGAGATTTCTGCCATAACGCTGTTTTGCCAACCTGATGATAATAATAATAATAATAATAATAATAATAATAATAATCTACTGAAGAAGAAAAACTCCGACAATAAACCTTGTGCTGTTCTGGAAAGTACAAATAACAATACTTGAAGTTAAATCCAGTTATCACTGAAGAAAGACTCCGACGATAAACCTTGTGTCGTTCTAGAAAGTACTTGAAGATAAATCCAGCTGTCTTAAAGAAGTTACCCGAAATTTTCGTTCCGTCGCCAAATATTAGAACGGGTTGGGAAAAGAAGAAGAAAAAAAAACTGTAAATATATATATTTTCTATTTTGATATAAACATAATATAGTGACTTATACAGGCGTCGTCCATTTTATTTTTAATTTTGTGTGCGCGTATTCAACTCCTTAGTTTAGCTTGGTTGAGATAGCCCAGTGATAATTCAGCTTGACTTTCTTAAGATCAAAAATCACAACGTGGGTAAGAAAGGTCATAGTTGAAGAGGTTAAGAAGACCAGCTGCTGTGTCAAACGCCATCAACGACCAACGAGTGCGGGCTGACGGCTTGTTCTCTGATAACAGGATCGATCTTGACCAAAGACAGCAGGTTGTGTCCCGGCCATGGTGCTATAATCTGGTTGCCGCGACCGGGGTTTGACCCTGAACGCCGCCAAAGTATATTTCAATATAAAATGTTATTCTAAAGAAAATAAAACTCGTTTTTGCTAACTCTATATAAAAAAAATTACAAAATGTAGCATTTTACATATTTCTCTATGAAAAGTCAAAATCTGAAGAAAATATAGTTGATTTTCGTATATCTATGTGAAAATATTCAGAATGTTATGAAAATGCAACATTTTGGTTTATTTTTATTTGAAAATGTCAAATTCTAAAGAAAATAATTCTGATTTTCTTATTTCTACTTTTAAAAGATGCGAAATCGTAAGAAAATGCAACAATATTTTTCAATATAAAAAAGTAAAATTCAGGAGAAAGCATAATTAAGAAAATAAAACCGATTTTCCCAATTCTATATGAAAAAATATGAAATCTATAGAAAATGCAACATTTTTGCACATTTATATATAACAGCCAGTCCGTATCGATCCGGTGTCTTTCCCACGTTGGTCAGTACTGGCGCCGGTCAACTGGTGACCGCTGCGTTCGTGCATCTGTTCTGTCCACGTTGTGTTCTTTGATTCCCGTGCAGTGTAGATTGAATTTTCGTCCACACTTAAGCACGGAATCGAGTTGACGGAACCATGCTATGAAAAAGGACAAGAATGCTTCCGTCGGTGAAAACACAAATATCATAAATAACGAAGACGTCGCTGGGTTAATTTTCTGTTAATTTTATATAAATTGTTGATACAACAAAATTAACCCTTCCCGTTTGAATCTCTATCGTGACACTGTATCTCTTGTTTCTAAAACTTGAAGCGGATTAAACATTCACACAAGATGTGAAGATCAGGCAATCTCGACGGCAGGTTACGTGGGTTCAACAGCTTCCTCGTTTGCAGCTGATTAGTCTCAGCCTTTTCCAACGGCAGCTTCTACGTGACACCGACCCTAAACAAAGCGGTCTGGTATCTCAAAATAATAAGCTCTATTTTTAAACATTCCGTCCTTTTCCCAAACAATAATTTTCTCGCCAATAAATTTTATTTAAAATCAGCAATTTCTTTTGGTTCTCGATTTACCAAATCCTGACACAATTTTCCAAACACACTCCAGATTATTTACATTTCTCCAAACCATATTCTGGACTCATTCGGCCATTCATTTTGTTTACATTCCTGGTTTTATTTACATTCGTTCCTCGTTAAATAGGTGAACTTCAAATAGTCAACTTTTTAAAAACAAAATTATTTACTTCAAATTTTTCTACTGTTTTACGTTCCGGCCTTTTTTAAAAACTCATAACAGTTGTTATTTGCCTTTCTGTTTATCAGAAAGAAAAAAATCGTATTTTTGCCTCGTTTCATATTTCTATTCCAAATTCTCTCTTTAACTTTTTGCTGTTAACCTTTTTTTTCTAATCCTCCAAATTCTATATGGGGTTTTCGCATGAAGCCTTTTAATCTTAATTCCAAACCACCAATTTCCTGATAGTGTCACATTCCTTCCAACTACTACCAGTGATTGTTACATATAGTGTCACATATATATAAAAATGCAAAAGTTGAAGAAATGTAGTGTTTTTACATATTTCTCTATGAAAAGTTCAAAATATGAAGGAAATATTTCATTTTCTTCTTTCTATATTTTAGAAAATTCTATTTATATTCTATAGAATGATTCAAAATCTTATGAAAAATGTAAAATCAGAAGAAAATGTAGCATTTTTACATATCTGTATATAAAAAGTCAACACTGAAGAAAATATAGCTGATTTACTTATTTCTGTAGGAAAACATTTTTAATCTTACAAAATGCAATATTCTAGTATATCTCTATATGAAAAATACAAATTCCAAATATAATAAAGTTAATTTTGTAAATTCTCTATTTAAAAATGACAAATTTGATGAAAATGCCACATTTTTCCATATTTCTATATAAAAAGATTCTAAATTTTATCAAAGTGCAACATTTTTGTGTATTTTGTATTTTTTATGTGTATTTTTTATGTGTATTTTGTTAAAAAATTAAAATCTGAAGCAAATACATCATTTTTACATATCATTATAATACTAAAATTCTGTGAACTTTGCTTGTTTGTGTGTTTGCCACTGTGCACACGAAGTCATATATGGATAGTGGGGGAAAAGAAGTTGTAGATTTATTATTTTGTAGGAAGAGGGGAGAAAAGAAAATGGTGTGTATACATGAATTGACTGTGAGGTCAAAAGAAAAAACGCTTTCTCTTTCTACCTCTCTCTCTCTCTTTCTACCACCCTCTTTCCACCTCTAACTCTTTCCACCTCCATTTACACTTCTCTCTCTTTCCATCGCTCTCTCTTTCGAACTCCCTCTTTCCATCTCTCTTTCGTTCTACCTCTCTCTTTCCACGTCTCTCTCTCTCTTTCCATCGCTCTCTTTCCATTTCTCTTTCCACCTTCCCGTGATTGCGTGCATGCTTATTTATATTTCAGCTTTCTTTAAACAAACACTATTTTAAATATTTAAAAAAATATTTTTGCCATATTTAAAAATATTTTCAAGTGAATATAATTTGAAAATACGGTTTGTTTATACAGTAAGTATTTTTATTTTACTTTTCTTCAAACAGACACTTTTTAACGTTGAAAGTTACTTCAATCTGAATCTTCAATGACTCAATAGTATGTTTGTATATGAAAAGTCAAATTCTAAAGAAAATAAACCTGATTTTCCTAATTCTATATAAAAAGTGGCAAATCTTGCGAAAATGCAACACTTGCTCGCTGAAAAAACAAAATACCATGATGTAAAAAGGACCAAAACTTAATAAAAATAAAGTTTTATCGTCAAAATGTTTATGTTATCATCAAGAGGAATCACCAAAGATTTTTTTATTATTTTAAAAAATTTTTTTAAATTTCTAGCACGTATTTTTGTAAAAAATCTTGTTGTTTTGACGATTAGTTTTAGCACCTTTTTTCAGGTGAGAAACACATCGATTTGGAAATTTTTGCAAAATTCAAATAATTTCGGATTTTAATTAAACTTTTAGGACAAATGAATTAAATTATTTTTGAAAGTTATTTTTTAGAAAATTTATGGAAAAATCCATACAAACCTTTCATCCCTCCAGCATAATCCACTTCACACCAAAATGTCTATCAACCAATCAAAACTCTAGTTTCAGCAAACGAAATTTCCTATTGGTCAAAAGCATTAGAACTGTAGCAAATTCACGTGAAAATGCCTTTTCGCGCGCAAGCCACCGGTAGCCCGATTTTGTTCCTTTGCTGGAACTGATTTTCAATCACTGGATGAAGCAGGGGTCTATACCTCAACGCTTCACCAGGGGTGTGATCAAGTTGCTGCTTAAGGACAGGAACGGTGGGGATGGGTTAGGGAATTTTCACCCTTTAACCATGTTAAACACTGAGTTAAAGATTTTGGCGAAGATCTTAGCCAACCGTTTGCAACTTGTCCTGTCTAGTCTGATTGGCTGCGAACAGACTTGTGCTGTGAAGGGCAGGACTATTCAGGATAACCTTTATATGGTACGCTTGATCTTAGAACAAGTCGACAGTGAAGCCGCGCTGATCAATTTAGATCAGTCCAAGGCCTTCGATGGGGTTGACCATCGTTTTCTGGAGGCTGTCCTTTCGGCGGCCGGTTTCGGAGCCGACTTTCGCTCCTGGATCCGACTTTTGTATGCGACCCCCGGTGCGCTGGTGGAGGTGAATTGGGTAAGATCGAAGCCTTTCGTATTGTCTCACTCCATTCGTCAAGGTTGTCCGCTTTCGCCGTTGCTTTACGTTCTTGCGTTGGAACCATTCCTTCGCAAGTTAAAGGCGAATCCGGTCCTGCGCGGAATTTCCCTGCCTGGGGCTACCCACTCAGCCAGGTATTTTGCCTTTGCTGACGACGTTTCGGTTCTTGCGTCGAGATTGACGAAGTCGGCAAAGAGATCAGTGGGTATGAGATGGTGACAGGGGCCAAGATCAACCGCGATAAGTCTGTTGGCTTGCGGTTGGGTGCGTGGAAGGGAGTTTCTCTTCCTGGATCTTTCCTCTGGACGGATGGGGCGATCAAGATAATCGGCGTCTGGTTCGTTCCTGAGCTCCAGTTGGAAATGAATTGGTCGGAGGTGTGGATGTTATGGCTATTAGTGCTGGGTTGATTCTTTCACCTAAACATCCAAAAACTTGTTGAATGCCTTCGTCGCTGAAATAAATTGACAAAGAAAAGACGGAAGGACACAGAGACACTAGGGACAGTTTAGGACACTGATTTTATTTCCTTCTTTTGGATTCCAACGACCTCTTGTTGGGGAATTTCTTCCCGAACAGTTGGAACGTGTTCACCAGTCAAAGGTCCAACAGAGAAAGAGATAGATTCTTCTAGTTTATCTTTGGCGCCAGGAAATCTCTCTTTTTTTTGCACATACGTAAATTGTCTTTCCTGTCAGAGGACTCCTGGGAGATTTTAATGTTTATTTTATTTTGTATTTTTATTTTATTTTGTATTTTTATTTTATTCCCACAACACATCCCTACCCGATGTAGCGGAGCTACAGTAAGAATGCATTGAAGGCACAGCTAGTCTTTTATAAGGTGCATGTGTATTTTATGTGTAGTAAAAATGGTCATTGTTTCTTGCCAACCGTACACGTCTACCCGAACGGGTGACGATTGTTTCATGTGGTGAGTTTTGCTGCGTTTCAGGTGTTGGTGATGATGTGTTGTCTGTTAGGCAGTGTTTTTTGTTTTCATTCTTTTTTGGGGCATTGGCGAATATTGCTGGCTTCAATCGCTCAATTGAAACCGTTTGTTCATCACCAGCCAATGTCTCTATGATAAAATATTTTTCTTCCTTTTTTATTACTTTGTATGGCCCCGAATATGGAGCTTCCAGAGGTTTCCTAATCCTGTCAGTTCGCAGCCATACATGTGTTGTTGATTTTAGTTCTTTAGGTATAAAGGATTTTTGAGTTGTATGTAGCTGTCCTTCTGAAAGGAGGGTTATATCCAACTCTTGCATCTCTTTGGCAATTTTTGTTATGTCATGTTTGGTCAAGTCGGGATACTCCTGGTCGATTATTGGTCTTGGAAGTCTGGGTTCCTGTGACAGCAGTAGCTGGGGAGAAACCTTGCTCATTAGGCATATTCCTAATACCAAGCAATATAATTGGCAATGCATCCAACCAGCTCTGCTTTCTTGTCATGATTGCTGTTTTAAGAGTACGGTGCAACCTTTCGATTATTCCATTGGTAAGCCGTTGTACGGAGCCTGTGGAAACCTATTATAGTAGACAAGTCCCTAAACAGTTCACTTTCAAATTGACTTCCCCTATCTGTGACGACGTGTAATGGGACTCCAAAGCGAGAAATTCATGTATGCAGGAATGCTAATGCTATGGTGGTGGTGGAGGTGTCTTGTAGAGGTGTAGCTTCTACCCATCTCGTTGCTCTATCAATGCACGTAAGTACATATCTAGCTGGAGATGTGTATACCCCGTCATAAGTAGTGGTGGGTAACAGAGGACCAATGATGTCTATATGCACGGTTTCAAATCTTCCTGACGGTAGAGAGAAAGGTGTAGTTTCTGTTCTAGTGTGTCTGGAAATCTTGGAATGTTGGCATCGTAGACAGCTCTTGACCCAAGATCGTATGCTTTTCTCCATTTCTGGCCAGAAGTACCTAGCTTTAATCAGTTTTGTTGTTGGCGTGGGTCCTGGATGAGAGATGTCATGGAACATGTCGAAGATTCTCCTACGAAGTGGTTCAGGTATGTATGGTCTGGGAGTAGATGTTGATAGGTCACACCAGACGGATGACCCTTGCAACTCAAAGGCTTTAAGTCGGCTCCTGTATGTGTCGATTTCCCCATCCTCTCTTTGTGATTCACTGATAGCTGGTAGATCACAGGGGTCTACGGTCACCGAATATGTGGGTCGAGATAGACAATCAGCAACGATATTTTCATCTCCTCTTATATACTGTACATCTGTGACATACTCTGTCATAATTGATAAATATCTTTGTTGCTTTTCTGATTTCATCGGTGTTTTCTTTCTGAACGCCAGGGAAAGTGGTTTGTGGTCTGAAAACAAAGTGACATTTCTGCCTTCAATTTCTGGTTTGAAGTGCAAGACCGCCTGATATGCTGCCAAAAGTCCCCTGTCGAAGGTGGAATATTTCCTCTGGTTTTCAGACAGTTTTTTTTTAATAAAACCCAATGGGGACTGGATCACCATTTATTATCTGATGTAACGCTGCACCCACTGCATGGTTGGAGCTATCCGTGACTAAATGGTATTGCGTGGCATCCGGATCAGAGTGCGTCAAAGCAGATACTTTGGCAAGAATGTCTTTTATAGCAACGTATGAGTCACTTTCAGTCGGGCTCAGTTTTAATGCTTTTTCCGCTGGATTGTGTTTGATGGCTTCAGTTAGTGACAGTAAGACATCTGAGGCTTGAGGGATTAATTTCCTGTAAAAGTTTACCATACCCAGAAATCGACGCAGAGATTTTGAGTCTGTGGGTTCTGGAAAATTTTTGATGTCTTCGACTTTCCGTGTTGTTGGCTTTAATCCTTTTATGCTTACATTATAGCCCAAGAAGTCAATAGAGTCTTTGTAGAACTGACATTTCTCAACAGAGATTTGAAGGTTGTTTCTTTCGAGAATCGAAAGGACTTCCTTGAGATCTTTGTGGTGTTGTTCCTTAGATTCGGAGAAAACAAGTATATCGTCGATATATGTGAAAACACACTCTACATCCATAAATATGTTGTCCATAAATCTCTGGAATGGAGAACTGCTGTTTCGTAAACCGAATGGCATGAATAGGTATTCAAAGAGACCAAATGGTGTTATCACGGCCGATTTTTCTATGTCTGCCGTATTCATGGGAATCTGGTGATAGGCCTGTAGGAGATCAATTTTCGAAAATACAGTTTTCTTGAAGAGTTTAGAACCGAGGCTGTTAATATTTGGTATTGGATATCTGTCTGGTTTTGTCAACTGGTTCAAATGTCTAAAATCGCCACATACTCGCCATTTTCCTGGGGTTGACTTGGGAACTAGATGTAGTGGCGAAGACCAGGGTGACTTTGACGGTTTAATAATTCCAGCTTGTAAGAGTGCCGCGAAATCCTATTTAGCTGATTTATATTTTTCTTCTGACAGTTGTCGGACCTTGGCATGAGTAGGGGTGCTATATTCAGTGTCTATGACGTATCTTACTTTCGTGTTAGACACTGAAGGCTGTCCTGTACGTGGATTGGTTAGTTTTGGAAATTCTTGGAGGAAGGATTGCACTTCTTCTGGTAGGTTATTGTGGTTATTCACAGTTATACACTGAATCTGTGCGGTGACTCGTCCTCCTTGTGTATATCGGTGGGTTTCCTCATCAATGAGCCTGCCCTTTTGCAGTCTAAGATTAATCCATAGTGGCGCAGAAAATCTGCTCCTAAGAGGGGTTGACGGTATCCGCTACTACTACGGTCCATGTATATGAACGGCGTAGGCCCCCAATCCCAATATCCACTACTGCTTCGCCAAAGCATTTAATGTTATTCCCATTTGCTGCTGATAGTGTTACAGGTGTAGGGTTTAAGTTCAGACCGAGTGCCATTCTCTGTGGTAAGATTGTTATAGAGGCACCTGTGTCTATCACAAAATTGATCTTATTTGTGTTAATTTTGAGTATTAGCCATTAATTTAGCGAACATCTCTGGTTTTGTCCTCTCAGGTCTGGCCATTACTGCGTCTTTTAATTCTGAATATTTTTTAGACGCTATAATAGCGGACGGTAAGCTGGATATCAATTCTGGAGGTAGAACAGACAAAACATGATAAAACTTGGTTTCTTCACTTGTTATGTGTCGCAGTTCAAATTGTGCCTCACAAATTGCAAACCAACCATCTACTGCCGTGTGCATAAAGACTGGGATTTTGACTGATATAGCTGCTGCGTTTTCTTCCATTTTAGTAACTTACGATAAGGCAACAAGAAGGAGGAAGATAAAAGACAAAGCAAGACGATAAAACAAAACTCTGCTGGACGAAATGTATTTGTGTTAATAAAGAATATTTTGTGTGTGTGTGATAAAAGGATGAAAGCAGTTACTCACGTATTTTTTCTCTTTTTTTAAAAAGTTTTACACAGCACGTGTATGGCTACAGTAGCCAACTTGACCTGTTGTGGTGGTGGAAGGATGGTAAGCCAAGGATTGATAGTGGGGAAGCAAGCAAAGTCATACGGGGTTAAAAGATTGCGACAGTTAATGTATACTCAGTGTAGGAAGGTTCATTTTTTTTTGGTCCCCGAAAACTTGAGTGTAGATGTCACGTCGGCGTCACCATTGTGGATGTTATGGCTATTAGTGCTGGGTTGATTCTTTCACCTAAACATCCAAAAACTTGTTGAATGCCTTCGTCGCTGAAATAAATTGACAAAGAAAAGACGGAAGGACACAGAGACACTAGGGACAGTTTAGGACACTGATTTTATTTCCTTCTTTTGGATTCCAACGACCTCTTGTTGGGGAATTTCTTCCCGAACAGTTGGCACGTGTTCACCAGTCAAAGGTCCAACAGAGAAAGAGATAGATTCTTCTAGTTTATCTTTGGCGCCAGGAAATCTCTCTTTTTTTGCACATGCGTAAATTGTCTTTCCTATCAGAGGACTCCTGGGAGATTTTAATGTTTATTTTATTTTGTACTTTTATTTTATTTTGTATTTTTATTTTATTTTGTATTCTTATTTTATTCCCACAGAGGTACAAGGGAAAGCCGAGATCGCGGTTAATCTGTAGTCTCGGAGGAGACTTTCCCTGAAAGGAAGAGCGGAAGTATGTGTTTCACACATCTACCCGATTCCCCCTTACCTACTCTCTGTACTTCCACTCCCGTATGCCAGACTTATTTTATTAGTACGGATCTTGTTTTCTTTCTTGTGGAGAGACAAGGCCGCTATGGTATCTCGCGAGATCTGTTGCCTTCATCCTTCTGAGGGAGGTCTTGGTATGCCTAGCATTGAGATTCGTCAACATATGCTTCGCATCAACTTTCTAGACCGAATGTGTCGCGGATCGGATGAGGAGGGCGCCTTCTGGAAAGAAGACGTCCATAAACATTTCCTATCCCTGAGAAGTGTGCACTCGTGCGAGGAAGAGGCCCGTACACCCCGAGCCGAGTGCTCCTTCTATTGCGAATGTCGTGGTGCTCTGAAGTTCCTCTTACGGGCTTCGGATGGCCTCTCCAACGCCCAGGCGTTGTCTCGTAAGGCATTGTATCAACTGTTAGGGGGGCTGTTCAAGATGATCTGATTGGCGAGATCGGTCTTACGAAGCAGGAGGCTCGCTCAATATGGCCTTGGGCGCCTGGGTTGAAATGCCTCAATAATGATTAGGCATCACTGACCTGGCTGGTGATTCGTGGGGCCCTCTGGGTCGCCAAGAGACTTTGTTCAGCAGGCTTGGAGAAATATCCAAACTGTCGCTGTACTGGGAAAATCGAGACCATTGGTCACGCCTTTTTTCAGTGCAAGACGGTAGTGCCGTTGTGCAAGTTTGTTGACGGCCTCATGGTTCGCATGCTGCAGGGAAAGTTTTTTGACCTTGAAGCCAGTTCTGTTTGTAGCAATGTGGTGCCGCAGATGACGAAGGCTGAACATTATGTGTTCTGTTTCTTACTAGGGGTTATGAGAGTCGTGATTTGGACGACGCGTCAGAAGGAATTCTATGAGGGCGAGAAGTTCACCTCTTCCTAACTGATCTTGTACTTTAAGCATCAGTCAAGATTAGGACGGAAAGGCGGCGGCTCACCTCATCAGAATTTGGCAAAAGTGGGTGAATACCTTTTGTGTTGAACGTCATTTTTGGTTAAGTTTGTTTTTAATACTGTCTTTTGTGTTTTTTACGACTGTTTTTTTTAAAAGATTTTGATTTTTTTCTTTTCCTTTTTTCTCCTCCTCATTTTCTATTTTTTTTCTTCTCTTAATTTTTGCTCTTTTCCTTTTATTCCAGTTTTCCTTTTTAATTTTCTTTTTCCTTAATTTCCCTTTTAATTATATCTTCGTTTTCTATTGTTTGTAATCCCTGTCTGTGTTTCGCTTTATTTTTTGTTGACTATCCGTTAATTTTTTTATTCTTTCCTTTTAATATCGTTTAATTTTTTCGTGTTTTGTTTTTCTGTTCCAATTTTGTATTGTCTATTCGTCTATTTATTTTGTTCTAACCTTTGTATTGTCGATTTTCTTTTGTTTATTTGTTTGGCGTCAGCCATTTTGTTTTTTGTAACTAACTCCGTCTAGTTTTGATAGTTTCGTATTTTCTTCGTTTTTTTCTTTGTCTAGAGTTTTCCTTTTTTCTTTTCTTTTCGTGTTTTCTTTTTAAATTTATTCTTTCGCCTTTAGGCTAACTTTGTTTATTGTACGTGTTTAATAATTTTTCTTGCCTCGTTGTATCTGTAATTATCTTTGCTTGCTGTTTCGCTTTCAGGCGAGTTTTGTGTTTTTTTTTAACTGCTTTATTTTTGTTGTCATTTTAAATTTTCGCTACTAGGCGAACTTTATTTAGTATTTTTCCCCCGCCTATAGGCGGTCTTTGTTTCTTACCACCCCTCCCATTCCCTTCCCTTTGTATAAATGTTTTAAAATGGAAAAAAAGGTAAAGCTACATCCGTCGTTATCAAGAAGAAAAAGCCTATTATAGCTGATCTCAAGAAGTCAGTTAAAAACATTTATTTTCTATAAAGAAACACCCTCCTGACAAAAATGATCCAGAGGAGTACCCAGTCTTAGAAGATACAAAGAAAACTATGGAAGCTAAAATTGGCCAAAGTCCAAAAAGTATGGAGGCCAATAATGGCCACAATGAGATAATCATGGAGGCCAATAGTGGTCCACACAAAGACAAGAATAAGGATAATTCAGAGGCCGGGGAATCGCCCTCTTGTTGGAAGTCGCCACTTAGCTGTATAATCAATTTAGCGGAGTTCTTGGAGCGAGCTAAGAGTTACGCTCACCTTGTCGTAGAAGGTGGACTCTTAGAAGACCCCCAAGAATTGAGAAAAATTGACAAAAGAATAGTGTCTGTTTTCGTCGTGGACAAGCGTACGCGCAAAATTTGTCGCTCGACAAAAGACACAGTGATAAAATCACTGGAGTCCTTTGGGTTCAGGCCTTTCAGAAGAGTTAATGGAGCCGGATATTTCATGTGAGACGTATTGTTACCCACACTGGAAGACTGTGTTGCCGCATCGAGCCGTGAATTAATAACGAAAGAGTTGATCCGGCGCACGAAGTACGAAGGCCGTAGAAGGACCTCGTAGCAGTATATGAGGTTCCTGCTCAGGTTATCGGGGAACACATCACTACGTTCCTGTCCCAGTATGGCAAAATACTGGGCGCTTCCTGCGATAGCCTGACCGGGGTGGGGGTGGAGCGTTGATATCATGTTGGACCATAAAGCCTTCCGCTCCATCCCCAACTGTCTGAATGTTGGACGCTTGAAGCTGCCGGTCAGTGTGACCGGCCGCAAACCGGTATGTTGGAAGTGTGGAGAGACTGGTCACCTCTCTTCTTCCTGCTCAGAGAAGAAGGCCTCTGGAAGTCAAGCTCCAGTCGACCAAAATCCCCCTCTGACCGCGTCTTTACCTACCGCCTCGCCTGTAATGGGCGTGCCAGCTTCCGGGACCGGGTCGGTTAAACCTGCGGTTGGTGAAACATCTAAGACCACATTCCCCAAAGAGCCTTCGCCCGCTGCTAGTGCAGTTGCGGAGAAGTGGGAGGGGAAATGGCTGGTAGCTGGTAAGGCCAGTATGTGTTTCACACATCTACCCGATTCTCCTTTACCGACTCTCTGTACTTCCACTCCCGTATACCAGACTAATATTATTAGTAAGGCTCTTGTTCTCTTTCTTGTGGAGAGACAAGGCCGCTATGGTATCTCGCGAGATGTTGCCTTCATCCCTCTGAGGGCGGTCTTGGTATGCCTAGCATTGAGATTCGTCAATATATGCTTCGCATCTAGACCGAATGTGTCGTGAATCGGATGAGGATGGCGCCTTCTGGAAGGAAGACGTCCGTAAACATTTCCCATCCCTGAGAAGTGTGCACTCGTGCGAGGAGGAGGCCGGCCGTACACCTCGAGCCGAATGCTCCTTCTACCGCGAATGTCGTCGTGCTCTGAAACACCTCTTACGGGCGTCGGATGGCCTCTCCAATGCCCGGGCGTTGTCTCGTAGGGCATGTATCAACTGTTATTTAGGAGGGCCGTTCAGGATGATTTAATTGACGAGCTCGGTAGGAAGCAGGAGGCTTGCTCAATATGGCCTTGGGCACCTTGGTTGAAACGCCTCAATAACAATGAGGTATTACTCAGCTGGCTGGTGATTCGTAGGGCCCTGTCGCTGTTTTGGGGAAGTCGAGACCATTGGTCACGCCTTCTTTCATTTCAAGATGGCAGTGCCTTTGTGCAAGTTTGTTGAAGGCAAAGTTTGACCTGCAGGGAAAGTTTGTTTGTCCTTGAGGCCAGTTCTGTTTGTAGCAACCCCATTTCCAGTTTTTTCATACATTTGTAAAAACCAAATTTTTAAAATATAACTTTGTGTGAGTGTTCGAAATTTCTTAAAATCGATGTTTTTCTATTTATACATCGCGATTTTCAAAAATTTTAGGGTTTTTCAGAAGTTTTCAGACAGCAAATTACATTTTAAAACAACGGTGTTTTGTTTAAGGTATTAAAAGAAATTCGCGGAAACTGAGTTAATTTCGACGCTATTTCCAATGTTTTCATAAGTTTGCAAAAACCAAATACATTTTAATTTCACTTTATATAAGCTGTCGAAACTTTATGGAATAATACAGTAATTCCATCTACATTTTACGCGCGTGCGAGTTTTCCTCCCTTCCTTCCACACTTGTGCGTGTGTGCGCGCGCGTCCACTGATTACACCCCTTCCTCTCTCGTTAAGCTAAACATAGCAGTAAGCCATTTCTTTTTTTAACTAGAGTAAGTTATGTCGATGACCAGCTCCTGCTGATAAATATCACCAGTCTAATAGATTTAAAATTACCGTTTTTTCCCGCGTTTTCTCTGACGTCATGGACAAACTTTTTCTCTCGAGTGAGTCGGGCTAAAAACTTCGCTTCAACAAGTTGACTCATTTATCCCTCATCAGTTAACCCTGATACAGACAGGGATATCTTATCGGAAAATATTCTTCGTCCCTTTTGGTTCGTCATAAGCAATTTCACCAAGACGATGCAACTAACTACAAATAATTCTTCGTCCCTTTTGGTTCGGCATAAGCAATTTCACCAAGACGATGCAACTAACTAAAAATAATTTTTCGTCCTTTTGGCTAGACGTCCACATCAATCCGATAAAAATTTGCAGCAGTTAATTCAATGTCCTTAAGTTAACGACTTGTTACATTTCCCTTTTGCCTTTCGACCAAAAAACTCTGAGACGACTGAACATTCTAACTACCTTGAACCTGAACATAAAAAAATATCACATACACGCACAATACCAAAATCCACAGTGAGTACTTTTTTCTATCTGTGCACCTACACCTCGTGTTAACGAGTCCTTTTTCCATAACCTTCTTTCATTCTGATGAAACTTTTTCCCGCCTTGTCCATCTTGCTTTCCTGTTTTGGCGCGGAACATTTTCTCTGATCTCGAATGACGAGACAACCTACTTGTTTTCAATTTAATAAAAATTTCATATATGTTTTGCAACCAGACGCCTTTTGTCATTCTATTCAGGCTATCTTTTTGATATTTATAATTTATGCACTTGTTGATTGACCCCTTTTCCTTCACTGTTCGTTCACGCAATTTTTATACATTGTTTGTGGACTCGGTAGTTTTGTGTAGTGTCTGGCACAAGGCCACTTTTCTATTAAACCAGCACTGCACGTTACTGGGCCGGCAACAACTTATTAAAAATCATTGTTTTCGAAAGAAAACAAATCGATTTTCAATAATTTTAGGGGATTGCGAAGGTTTTCAAACTTTTCATACATAAAATTTAAAACAACGGTGTTTAGGTTATCAAAATTAATAGAAAATTGCGTAAATTGCATCAATTTCAACGCTTTTTTTTTTCAAAATTTTGCAAAAAACTTTTTAATAATAATAATAATGTCGTATTTTGTTCTCGTCGAGTCGCAATGCGTACGTACGTGCCGGTAGCGCGAAAAAGATTGTTTCGATTTCGAATAAGTTATCTTCTCTCTCCTGGTGAGCAGTGAACGACAGAAATACACTCTGTTTTAATTTGTTCATATCTAAATTTGTTCATTTCACTCTCTCCGTTTATCTATCTATCTATCTATCTATCTATCTATCTATCTATCTATCTATGTTTATCTGAGCCATGTATCACAATGCATAGGCACCCTATCGTAGTGCAATTTTAATCAAGCTGATCTTAGATTAAAGAGTGATGAATTCGACCCTCACTGAGTGCTCTATACTTGTGTTTATGTACCAATATTAAGCTAAGATTATTAAATTGGTCTCTCACTGTAGAGTAATGTTTAGTGAGTTCCTTTTGCAATAGTCATGTTTTGTAATAATAGCCTTCTAAAATCATGGCCTTGATCTAATGTTAAATTTAGTAAATACTATTATAACAAATCTTTCAATCTGTATTTGAGTTTACATTTTTTCTCTGCTTGATGCATACCGCTGATGCATAAATATTATTATATATGCATGTATATATATGAAGTCCTGCATGCACAAGATATTTCAGCAAGAAATGAAACACGGGTATTTAATGGGGCGATTAACCTGACACGGAATTATTATTTGAATTTTGATCTGAAATTGTCTCTATGTAATGTTTGATTTCTGTGATGAATACTCACAATTGAATTAGATTTTGTTAAAAAAAAATATTTATTTATTATGGAGTTGTTGTAGAAAGTTGTAAAGGTAGTACCAGTCGGCTGGCGATCCATTCTTAGAAGAGGATACATTTGTGCTCATGTACCGATGTGACAAATTCCTAAAATTCGATGATTACAACGTGAAAAAGTAGCATAGAAGCAAAGGCATAATATTCTGTTTGTATAGTAATAAACATATTTGATTAATAAATGTTTGTACCTTACGTTTTGTATATCACTCGTGTGTGTGTGTGTAGGGTGCGATTTTGTCTAAATTACGTAGAAATGAAAATAACACTGGCATCTCATTTTAAAATATATATTTAGCAAAATATCTTGAAATACTAAAGAGTAAATTTATTCAATAAATTCACCATTGGTTTCAACCACGGACTCTAGACGACTTCCTGCAACTCTTCTTAATGGTCTCCTTGTTTAAGTTGGTGAATGGTGCCATAATCTCTCGCTCAACTGCGCTCCACATATAATAATCAATGGGGTTGCAGTCTGGGGAGTTAGGTGGCCAGATGTAAGGGGTGATATGGTCGCAGAAATTGTCTGACAACAATGACATGTTTCTCCTGCTTGTGTGATTTGGTGCAGAGTCCTGTTGCCAGAAATAAGGTCTTCTAGCAGCCACCTTCTTGATCCAGAGCAGCACTACCTCATCAAAGCACTCTGTGTTGAGTCTGTAGCCCTGTGGGAATATGAATGGAGGTATAACATCGCCATAACTAGTAATCACTCCAAACACCATGATGTTGGCTGGATATATCATTCAACTCTTTCCGAATCCTTTGCACTGTCCTCAGATTGATTCCCAAACACTGAAATGTTTGTATTGGAGCTTCCGGCGCGAATGCCAAGCAGTACAACACGCCGTTTCAAAATCTCTGGTGGAGTGAATTGCCTCATGGTGGTCTTTTTCTAACAGATAGTGCCCAACCGACCTTACTATACTATGCAGTCGACGAAATAAAAAAAAACAATGCGCATGCGCGAAATTAAAATATAAAAAGGTGGCAATTTACCCATCGCACACACACATACACACACACACACACTATATATATATATATATATATATATAGCGTTTGCAAACATTTACACGCATAAAAATCTGCATACGTTACCATGAATATATACCAATGAGTGTTTATATGTATATGTTTGTACTATATAGATGAATGAAGAAATATAAAAAGTTTGCTGCACAGGCGAAAATATAAACATTTCCAACCAAAAAGAAAACTCCAGTAAATACAGCAATGCTATTTTTTAATTTGTATTTTTTACCTTTCAAACTGAAAATTTCTTGTCGTGACACTAAATTCTATTCTGAGCATGCGCACAAAGGCGGTAAAAATCTGGCATCTAGCATGTAGCCCGCCAGAGGTCATCGTATCACGGAGCTTCACATGAACAAACAAAATAAGAAGTCACTGTCTCAATTCATCCTTCCGGTTGATAAAATCCTCTGTCACACATATCTATCTATCTATCTATCTATCTATCTATCTATCTATCTATGTACGCTCGTGTGTGTATATCCGCACTCACAAACATATTTATAAGAAAATAAGGTACATACGACACACACACACACACATATAATTTTTTTTAAACAGAAGATAATCATAAATTACATATATGGGTAAATCTGTAAATGCGATGTACATATGAGAAAATCGATACAGGCACAGTCACAGTGTGTGCATGTGTGTGTGCGTATTTGGAAACCACACACACACACACGTATATATGTATATGATAATATCTATGTATGCAATATATATATATATATATATATATATATATATGTGTGTGTGTGTGTGTATGCGTTCATATTATGTGTATGAATGTATGTGTATATTTATGTGCATTTGCATGCATAAATATATAGATTAAAAAAGAACTTCTGTAAAAGAACAAAAAATGGATGCAAAAATGGTAGAACGTTTGAGTAAAAGGGAACCAATGCTGTTCTGCTTTTGGCATTCATCTTTGCTCTCTTAGTCGAGACTTGGAAGACAAATGTCATCGAGTGTTTCAGTGCCGACCTCCTACTTGCTTCAACTGTGCACATCTATCAAACAGCCGTTTTAACATGTTCAAGATATAACACATTTAAAGAAAAAAATTGAACTATTTGAAAAAAATAAATTATTTCCTTGTTTTTCTGCCTTTATTGTCTCAAATGTATAAGATTGTGGCTTGCTCGTGAGACCTTGCCGGTGTCGCTACGGGGATTTTTCTGTTATTATAATAAAGGTTTCGTGGAGATGTATTATTGTCAATACACGATTGCTTAAGTTTGTATTACGCAAATACAACATCAAGTCACTTTCAGAGAGAAACACGTACAGCTGCAGTAATGTAGACAAGCGCTCACAGAAATAGACGAAGACACGCTCATGAGGCAAATAATATAAAACCGTACATATAAACGTTCACTTGCACTTAAATGCAATCACACAGAGAAAGTAAGAGAAAAATCATTACTTACAGAGATAGAGATAGGAAAACAATTATACACATAATTAATTTTAAAAATTCATTTTTAATTATTCATTTAACGCTTCTTAGTGAAACCAAATGGAATGTCGTATGGACATTTTCTGCTACCTTTTGAGTAGTGTGAAAATAGCCGACAAAAAGCAGCTTCAAAGGGAATATGATGTTAGGATATATTTTCATCATTTAATTTATCGATCTGTTGGGTAGCATCTCCTTTATGTGAGATTTACTAATTACTGGTGTGATCAACCGTTTCCTTATAAGGAAACATTCGCCATTCATTGATCGAACAGTTAACTTACTCTCGGTTGGAGTTTATGAAATCTTTTTCTTAAAATATTTTTATTTAATTAATTAGATTTTTCATGGCCACTAACTGTTATTGTGAGATTTCTTTAAAAACTTTTGCTTTAGGAAGTGGGGAAAGTTATCATTTTGATTATATCATTATTTTTCTTTATAACTACGCGTGTTAACATTTTTGTTGTTGTTGGAAGTCTTCAAATTATAATTTTGACATTTGGAAAAATCCTTTGAGTTTCTGTCGCGCCACTCTATACGGTCGGATGAAGAATTGTCTAAAGACTTATAGGATTCATTTATTTGAAGTCAGTTTTAATCATTGACCTGAAATAACGGTTGGTATATAGATAATACTTTAGATATCATTGAACGGGTTTGGTTCTATGCATGACATTCATATACGAATGACGAGAACATGATTCAAATCTTCAGGTTACTATTTTAATTTTGTAGCAATTTGGTATGTTGGATAAAAGTACTTCTACCCTGTGTTCAATTTCCTTATATCCTATACTAAACTTGTTATAATTGACACTATTTGCTAATCTTGCCATTGGCTGACACAAAGCTATAAGAATAGATTTCCTAACGGTACCATAGCAGTGAGAGCGCCCTCTGTTGGTTTAATGACTATCTTGCTATTGCTTTGTCCGACGAAAGACAACAATAATGGAACGCCTGGTAAGATACGAATTTACGAGATAAACTGTTGTTTTACAGATGCGCCTACATGAATGATATGAATAAATATTTGCTAAGTTTCGCAGAGGTAAAAGGTTTAAGTTAGATGTAGCTCTTCACTCTGCAACAGGCGCCCAAGTAGATATGAATACAAAAAAAAATATCTTTCTCTCTTCTTCATACACACACGTACACACGCACACGCACACACATGCCCAGCGGGGGGTTGGGGAGAGAATTTGAAAAAAATTACCATATATTTACATATATACGCATGTACATGACGCACCTACAATGCCATAATGAGTGCTTCAGTCCGCACCCTACTTTTTGTTGAAACTGAGAACTAAACAAGACTAAATTTGTCCACTTCAACTCAATCGGTGACAATGCTATTGACAATTTGTATTACAGCTATTAATTTTCAAGAAACATAAGAAAAATTTATTTATTTTTTGGAACCACTACCTTTAAATATTTTTATATGTGGAAAAATCTACAGGTTTCATGAAAAAAATGCTTATTCAGAATCAAAACAACGTATACAAGGGTAGATCAATAATTTCAGAGCCTAATACGACAGAGCCTACATTTTGACTTGGGATTTCCTCTGTAGAATATTCTTTCTTTGTGGTTTATGTTCATTACTGACTAAAGTGAATTTTTAAGAAGGAGTTTATACTGAGAAATAAATGTTGGGTCGGTAAAACCAATGCTTTTTTTCAATATGAAGTTGAAAATTTATTGATATATCTAATTATGCATGATTTTCTCTTACACTCACTGATATCTACAAGTATATTCTCAATGCAACTATATATATATATATATATATATATATATATATATATATATATAATGTTAGTCTGACATGAGGCGGAATGAAGGAAAAGCTGATGTTGATCATCTGTATGTGCCCAGAGGATTAGTTCAACTAGCACTGTCTTACAAATCTACAACAACTGGCCTTCAAAGATGC